GGCGTGATTTGCCTAAACCAATCACAATTCTTTGCGACGCATAGCAACCAAGGAGATTCCTTCATTTTGTATAGTCAATAGATTTCGTCAGGTGGCTTTTTTCCTGTTCGCCAAAGTGGGGAAAGGCCGGCTTTAGAATTATGTTCAAAGATTTTGAAATAAAAAAGCTGTAGTAGTTTGTTTCGTTATTATATAAAACAAATAGATTCCATGTTGCCGAGCGTCTGTTCAGTAATAGATCACAGAAGACGTCAAAATGTGGTAAGAACATCGATAGAAACACAGTACACGTTTTCTATTTCTTAAGGAGAAGATTGACTGGCTGTTGCTAACTTTTATTTTCAACCGAGAGAGATGGAGTAAGGGTTAGAGTAGCCTTCTACCCCGGCTTTGGTTGCTCGGCAACTTTTTGGCAACTCCTTGTATTTCGAGCAACCTTTTTCGCTTCGAAAAAGTTTTTGCATTCTGAGCAATATCTAGTTCTCTATCAGTTCTGAGAAACTGGAACAGCTTTTAGTGCTTAAATTGGCCTTGCTTCCATATTTTACAATGTTTTAGAAGACATTTTATTAATTTCCTGCGAAAAAAAAGCCAGATGCCCCTCCCCCTGGGGCGGATAGCTGCACATCATGAATGTAAGATGTGTGCAGCCGGAATGCTAGGTCAGCGTTTTTCTTTAAATTCAAAATAGCAGACGAGGAGTCACAATCGACTGACTCGAGTGTCTCAGGTGTAACAAATTGACGTCAGTTTTTTTTATGCGTCTGTCCTCTTATTGATGAAAAATTGAGTCATAACATTGTTAAAGTGGCTGTGGAAACACGAGCCGCGGACGAGTGGTTCCGTAATGAAATTTATCATCAATATAAGGACAGACGCATAAAAACACTGACGTCAATTTGCTTTTTTACAATAACAAGACCCCAAAATGGTCAAATGCCGGGAATAAATGAGGGAAAAGACGCCGTGAACTTGCCGTAAACAAAGATAAGTGAATTTTATTCAAAATGACGCGAACATGGTCTATGGTTTTTCTCGCTTTTTGATTGGCTACTTAAAAAAGTCATTAAAATCCCATTCGTTCAAAAGTTGACAGTTCGACAGCTGGAAGTTCGAAGTTTGCGCTAGAAATTAATATTGATACGTAGTCTTTACTCATACATTTTTTGGTTTAAATTGAGGACAAAGTTATTTAGCAACGTTGGTTACACCACAAAGTTGCACAAAAATTCTTGTAAATCTTGCTTTTGTTGTACTTTTTCATCAGATCAAATATAGGAAGAGAACAACAAATTTTGTTTTGTTTTTTTGTTTTTTTGTTTTTTTGTTTTTTTTGCAGCAACTTATGAGCAATTTTCGTTACAAAAAGCAACTTTTGACTTTTTTGAGCAACTTTTTGATAAATCGCGGGCAACTCTTCGGGAAATCTCGGGCAACTTGTGGAAAGCCCTAACTGACGGTCATAAGGCTTGTCACGCAATCTCCCTCGCGTGGCAAGCCCTAAGAGCTTCTGCGAAGGAGGCTAGGATTAGAGCCACAGACGATAAAATCAAAATGGTTTGCACCAAAAAATCTAACACTTTCTTCTTTTGCTTTAATTTTCTTTGTTTTCGTTGGTGGGAGCGTAGCATAAGTTAAGCATAGGTTATCGTCAGATCAGCTAAATTCAGACCTGTTGAGGTGGGCCAGTAATCTGATTAGTGACGGGATTCGATAGTAAAACAAGAAAGAAAAAAACTACCCAGCCCTCCTTGGATAAAAGCAAAAGTGGGAGTGAAGTAAGAGTAATAACTGAAATCAAGCTGCTATTATGTTACTGTTTGACAGCCATTTTGACAATTTATTTATCGTCTTCTTTCTCGCTCCTTACAAAAGGTTACGTGATTAAAATCTGATTGTAATAACTTCGTCACATCTGGGAACGAGGTTATGTGCTAATTAGTTAGTACAAGTAAACTCAAAGTAGCAGTGTTATCAGCTTGTTGTCTGTGGTTACAGGTTATCTGGAATGAAAAATGTAACAAGGATTTTAACACTTAGAGTGGTTTAATTTTCGTGCTCTGAACTATATTTATGTTTGAAAGTTACATCGACATGACTCCAAATATCGGTTTGATTAAAAGGTTTATTTATGTTTTCCTTGTCACTGCAACAGGATGTAACCCATGGCTTTGATGTGTTTCTCTCCATTATCTGGATCGTACATTGCTTGGTTTCCACACGTGTTGGAGTCACCAGAATCCCCTGCAGTACCAAACCCGATTCTTGAGTCACAAGTGGAGCAGAGATTTTGCTCGTTGCTAACGATGCCGATTCTTGCTTTAGAATGGGTATTAGAAGTACACATCACATTGAAGCCTTCTTTGTTACAGTGGGTCTGTAAGGAGGCCTGTGAACCAATCAACTTCTTCCACGTGTCACGACCCAGTGAGGTGTTGCGGTATTGCCCGTCAGCGATCAGCGAGTACAGAGAGTCGGCCTGCTTCTTGATGACGATGAAGTTAATCTTTTGGCCGATATTTATACCAAGACAGATCTTGGAGAAGGATGTGTTCCAGTAGAATGGTAATTTGGTCTCTTTTGAGTCAAACCCAGTCTCCCCTCCAGGAAGGTTGTATTCAGTTTTGTTACTCCAGTACTCTGAGTCATAATGAAATGTGCTCTGAGGAGGAATAGAAGAAAATAAACTTCCCAAAACCTGTTTCTATTGAATGAAATTTACCAGACCTGAGATAACTTAAACAGTTTTCACATGTGATGCATGGCTTAAAAGGGGTTGACGAAACAACTGAATATTGTGAACTGAGTTTTGAAAGCCTTGGCTTACACTTGTAATATACCTTGTTGCCGTCAATTTTCATGACCGGTGTCCATCCTCCATCTCCACATCCAAAATCTCCCATGTGACAGAGAACAGAAATTGGTTTTGAGTCAACATGGAGCGTAACCAACTGACTCACCCTCGAGCTGTCAAATACAAAAATGTCTTTCAATAGGCTACCTTTAGATCGGCAATCTTCTGTGACTAGGCTTAAGTAATTTGCGCTTTTGATTATTACACTAGCTGTAAAGGTCACAGGAAATAA